ATTGGATAAGGCATAGCCCCCTCCCCCATAGCCTTTCTTGGGTTCTTCCAAAAAACATATGTTAGCTGTCTGATTGTTGGAGGGAGGTGGAAGAAGGGTGCCAGATCGGAATGTGCCAAAAAGCAGGACCCAAAAAAAGGTAAGATGCTCCTTTGGGATGGCTGTGGGTCAAAACCAATGGTTCCATTTTGGGCTAGGTGAATTCACCACCCATTTTGGAACCTATTTTAGTGGTTGGCTTGGGATGTTCACTGGGGGTAACCGATTCGGGTGTTGACCCATGGCCAAATCACCCCCATTTGATTTTTGGGTGCTTTTCGCTGGGTGCTTTTTGTAGTTGGAATCAGACCACTTGAGGGCCATCCTAGTCTTTGGGACACCGATCTGGGTTTTGCAAAGCCCACGGCCGGAGGATTTTTTTTTCCCACTAGGAGTCCCTGCAGCTGGCGCTGGGCAGCCAGGCCCTGGACGCTTCGAACCGGAGGCGCCTGGAGTTTCTTCTGGCGCAGAAGACTTCGGGGGCGAAGCGCCCTGGCGGCACGGGCGGGACCCGACTTTTTTCGGTGACTCTCCCAGCCGGGACCTGAAACCAGTTACAAACCTGTGTGGCTCCCGGCCATCCGGCTCCTTTGCTTTTTAGGTCCTGTTAGTGTTTAGTGGTAGTCTCCAATCAACCCACTAGTGAAACTTTTAGCGGGGGATCTGAGGGCAGTCCAGAAAAGGTGGTTCCACAAACAACAGTTTCCTTTGAATAGACCTTGATGTTACAAATGGCACTTTGAGAAACCGCCAGAAGTCAAACATGTTTGGGTCCCGATTGTGAGACATCCCCTTGGGTGTGTTTTTCTTTGAAGGGGGCCCATTTTGGTTGCTTTCAATAGGAAACCAAAAGGACAACCACCCTAAAAAAAGACACACCCATATTTTGGTGGTTGCAGCTCTATGAGGTTCTTTTAGTGGCTTGAAGGGGTGGAGTTTTTGGGATTGCGCGGCGGTTTCTTCTTTTTTTTTGGTTTATGTCCAGCTCTATGTACCGCTTTCGGATTGCTTTATGAAAGGATCAAGAAAGCGGTCAACCAAAAGTACGGTTTCAAGTGGTACTTCACCCATAAAGATCCTTCTGGGACAATGGCCAAGCACCCCGCCTGCCGGGGATCCCGCATACCCCGAAAGGACATGAAATATCCCGCATCACCCAGTTGTGTGGATATCCTGCTGTAAAATCCCTTTTTATTTGGTGGGTTCGGGGCCCACAAAGGGTCAACACCAAGCTGAAAATGGGTGAGGCAGGAAAAAGGGTGACGCCGGTCAGGAAGAGTTCCTCGAGGGATTCTAGCAAATCAGCGCCAACCCACTGTTGAACAGTGGGGGAAAAGAACGGCGGCCTCATCGTTCGAAGGAGCTGGAGCTGCGGGGTGCTGTGAAAGACACCCGGCTGCACCCGGTGGTCCAAGAATCAGGGGTCCCAGCATGCCCCTTTTTGGTTTGGTACGCAACATGATTTGTAGTGGGCAACACATTTATCCCAGTGCAAAGCCTTATAACCCTTTGCCATTGTCCTTCGAGTTTTTTAAAGAGCACCAAGCCCTTGGTTACCTACTATATATCATGTGTATACAGTACTGTATACATGTATATATACATACGTAGCATTTGGAATCACTAGGTATGATGTACGGAGGCCGAAACCGTAGGCGACTTCGAACCATGCGTTTAAGAAAGCAGGGATCATCATGAGTCAGGACATGGAAGACGGGTGTTCGCTATGGCATGGCCTACACTTCCTGGAATTAAACAGGAAGCTCCGAAGCCTTTTTTTTACAGGTTGGTCAAAAACGCACACATTTTTTCTTAATCCCCCCCCCCCCGATGACACCAAACTACCCCCGGCCTGCCCCCACTTAGGTACGACGTACGACTGGTAGCATGTGGGGCTGAGATTGACTCAGAAACTGCAATTTGGAGCATGACGGCCCGGACAGACGCACACACCACAATTTTAAGCGTACCAGGGAAATGCCGGTTCGCGTCCTTTCTCACAGATATGCGAAGCTTCTAGCATAATCATAAAAGTTTCCTTTACATGGAGGGCCTCTTTTCAGGTGCTATGTTAGGACACGGGAACTTGCGTTTTCACTCACGTCTTTTCTTTCCATGGAAGTGCAGGCTCAAAGCAGGTTCCTCACGAATCTAGGTTTCCTGAAAACATCTCGAGATCGTCGTGGCGAGGGGCACCCTGATTAACTTCCTAGGAGAAAGTCGCAAGTACTGAGTAAAACCAAATGACGCGCAGCTTCTCAGGAAAAAAAGAAAACAACAAAATCAAAACTGGTCCTAGGGGCTTCCATGTTGGAGGAACCTCTGAGAGCAGGGACTTCCTGTTTAGTTCCAGGGAGTGTGGAAGCAAGACCCCAAGTATGGCCTTTGACCGGGCCCAAAGCAACTCTTAAGGGTTGGGTGACCAAGACGGATACGTGGAGCAGATTAATCCCTTCTATTCAAACCACCATTGCAACAACGGGGGCTCATATAACCACCATTATTTACCTAAGGATTGTCATCATCCAAATTGGGTCAACCTTTCTTTTAACGGGGGTTGAACCCTAGGGTAATGGAACCATCCAAAGCCGAATGCCCCACGTTGCAACTTGCGCACAGAGCTGAGAGTCATTCACTTCCCGCAAGAACCACGGGAATCGCTCCTTTTCCCAAATTGTTTGACCGGGGCTTTATTAAATGCTTGTTTCAGATTCAGGTCCCAGGTGTTGTTGGTGATGTTTGTTTCTGTTTCTTTCATCCTGATCCGACTTGGCTTTTGACGCGCACACACTTTTCGAGGGTTGGGACCAGGTGTTAAAAGGGAGTTGATCTATATTCCTGGCCACCAAATGACCATGGGTAATTTTATCAACTTAGTTGCACATATCATTTGTTTTGTTGTTTTCCCCAAACAAAGGACCTTGCGATCAACCCGCATGTTTTTGCTGTCTGGTTAATGCTAGACTTTCTTAGCAGCTTTCGCACTGGCATTGAGGCAAGCGTTTGCTAAGGAAAGTTCTCGGCGAGTACTCTCGCGATTGATTCTGAGAAGTTGTGAGGGCCCTGTTCGTGAGGTCAAATTGCATGCCCGACTCATGACGTGCCTTCCAAGATTGATTGGTGCACATGGCCTCCGGGCATGGCCCAAATTGATTTGCTAGCCTTGAGTTTTGTTTCACAAATCTCAGGACCCGCGGTGTATATTTCGTTTCGCTGGCCGCAAGAAAACGCTCCGGTGGGCAGTGGGCAGAGTTTGCCAAGTGTCTGTACAGTTGATGCTAACCTTGGCAAAAATGACCCGCGTGTCCACGGAGTGTCTTCGTTTTCTCACCGAAATTCCCCGCCACTTTGCATTGGATTTTAAGAGACACACAGGTTCGAAACCCACCCTCTCAAGAGGCCCAAGATTCTAGGAAACGCCTATGTCTTCATTTCTGTATTCTGCCTCTAGACAAGGAATAATTGTAAACGCTTCGCGTTGCCCGCCTCGGCCCAGCCTAGTTTGAGGGAAGGGTCAGGAACACCGAAATCCAGTGTTGGGAAGGTCCGAATACCTGAAGCTGGCTCCAGACAAGTCAGACAAGCCGGCCTCGCCTGGTTGGGCTGGGCCACAGGCTAGTCTCAGACACATCAGATGAGCCTGCGCTGGGCCTGAAGCTAGTCTCGGGCAGCTTGGCTGGACCTTGCTTGCGTGGGTTGTTGGTTGAGCTGGGCCTGAAGCTAGTTTACGGCGGGCAGCCGCACTGAGGGGGCTGGGCTAGGCCAGTTTCAGACACGTCAGACAGGCCTGGTTGCTGGATGGGCAAGGCCTGTTTCATACACACTTGGGCCTGAGGCTGGGTGGCGAGTTGCTGGCTGGGCCTGAGGCCAGTCGCAGACACGTAAGACACGCCAGCAGGCTGAGGGGCTGGGCCTGAGGCTAGTCTCAGGCTGGCATACTTTGAGACCAGTCTAGACTGCGCCGAAGGGGCTGGGGGCAGGAGGTCAAGGCCTGGCCAGCCTGGGCTGAGTTGCTTGGGCAGCCGGACTGAGGGGCTGGGGCACGCCAGACAGGCTTAGTAGCTGGAATAGCTTGAGACCAGTTTCAGACACGTGAGACTGAGGCCAGTCTCAGACACGTGGGCTGAGCCGGCCTAGTGGCTGGCATGCCCTGAGATGCGCCGGGGCCTGGGCTGGGCAGGCTGGGCTGGCCAGCAGGCGGGTTGCTGGTTGGGCTGGGCCTGAGCCTAGCCTCAGACACGTCATGCTTTCCAGGACAAAAAAGCAATTTGATTTTCTGCAATTGTCAGCATATTTTCGACAAAAATGGACCCATGGAGCTGGACGCCGACGAACCCCGAAAATTTCAAGGCCCGCCGGACAGGATTTTGGGCCAGCCGACATGGGTGGGGGGGGGTGGGGGGGGTTGGGGGAGGGGAAAAGCGAAGATTCTCTTTGGAGAAGAGATCTGAGCGCCCTTGGCCCTTTGGGGCCGAGGCGAATTACCAGTCCTTTGACAAGGTCAATCGCCATTACACCATGGAAGATTTGCCAAAGGACTGTTACACATAGAGTTTTAGTCAAATAATTTTCTCCATGTGTTTGGGTCTACAGGTTCCAGCTCTGGAAGATATGTGAAGGTCTTTGAGAGGACTCGCGGCCATTGCTCGAAGTTTGCGTTGACTGGAGAGTGTCGACTTCTGTGTTCGATGCTGCTCAAACAATGATTGGACTTATTGATGCACATGCCCATGTTTGTTGCCTGTTCTCAGACTCATCGGGCAAGAACGTGCCTGAGAGAAGCTTGACCCACCCCAACTCTCCCAACACAAAGAAACACGTAACTCATTATAGTGTGTCTGTGTTTTCCGAGGGTGCCGCTTTGGAGGTAATTGGCAATTGGCCACCCATTGGGGGGCTCATTTGGAGGCACGTGTTTCAACTATGGTTTCCTCCTGAAGGGCGCTCCGACAAATCCGCAGATTGTGGTCCGCGACGATTCAGTGGTTGGGTGCTGGCCTCAGCGAGACAACAAACCCAACAGGAAGACAAGATTGCTGGATTTCATGAAGGGGGTCACGTCTCGATTTTGTCCCAGTTCAATCATCACCTGTTCACCAATGTTAGGCGAGTTTCCTTTCACCAATATTCGGCGAGTTTCCTTATTGTGAGGTGATGCTTTAGTGTGAAAACTCAGTTGCACAACATATGCCGAGTTTAACCACAATAATTGTTTTGCAGTCTTCTCGACCATGCTCGTGATCCGCAGCATTTTTAGTTCTGCATCAAGATATGATATGCCACCTCAGAGTGAATTGCGTCACGCGGACAATGCACACAAACTTGAAGGTGCTCTTCTGTTGATCAGCAATATCTTGGATGCACTGAGAAACGAGTACAACTGGCCACTACCAAAAATATTAACCAGCCACAGCTGTTCGACTTGGTTTCGCATGGTGCCTGTGGAAGTATGGGTTCTCCAAATGGGGGAAGCCGGAAATGGGTTGTTTCCTTTTTCCAAGCGATCTCCATCTCGGCTCCGGCCTTGTTTCCTCTTCAAGCTTTCCCCAAACGGGGGTACCCTCAAGAAGTCAATAAGAGACTTGCCCGCTTAGGTAGTGGAACCCTGGTTGACCGTGTTTTTTGGGGCAGGGTTCGGGATCTAAAGAAATGGACAACACGAAGACAGGGCTTTCAATCCTTGTGACGCCAGACGCACACGAGGCCCCAACAGATTTTCCCAAAAAGTCAGCCCCCCTATTCGTTTCCAACCTCGCATTGATCGAAAAACAAACTGCAACCCCTTCCAACCTTACATGTATCGACAAAAAAAAGAAGAAACCAAAAGCGGAAACAAAATAGGGGATGCCCGGGCCCTGGGCTCCCGTTTTTGCGCACGTCCAACGACCGGTCAATTTGGTCGTCGACCACTCCGCTTTGAGGCACCGCCTGGCCACTCTCTCGGGGTCACACGAGAGCTTGGCGGAAGCTCTGCGCGGACCCAAGAAGATCGCGCCCAGCAACGCGCGGTGGGGGGGGGGGTTTGTGGCCAGGTGGTTGTTCCGGCGGGTTTCCCTTCGTGGTTTTAAAGGGAAGCTAAAAGGAACTCCACTATATACGTATATATTTTGAGGGGTCCCCTAAAAAGCAGACACATGGGTCCTTATTTTGAGACAGACACAAATGATGATCATAACCGCCGACTCTTGGGTTTGCACCGGGGTTTGCAAGCCTTGGAGTTGGCGCTCGACAGCAGGCTGTGTTGGCAAAACAAAGGGCAGACTCATGGTCTGGATCTCTTTTTTGGGAGTGTTGAAAAAACAGAAGCTGAAGGTGAACCGACTGTTTTGGAGGGAGGTTTCTTGTTTTGAGAGTGACATTCCCAAGAAGGGCATTCCCATGACGGGCTCCTTGTCAGGATGTGCGTAGAGCGAGGCCTGCGTGTTTTGAATGTCAAAAGGCCCCGAGCAAAACTGAGGTCTCCTCCAAGCTCGTTTTGTTTGTTAATTAGCCTTGTGGATCCCAGTGGGGAACCCGCCGAAGCCGCCGTCGCAGATTCTGAATTATCGGCCTGGCGGTCTCCGATTCTGCTCCATATCTAGAGTCTACCCAAGATACATGTCCGAGTCCCATTTCCTTATGTAGAAGGCAGCCAAGGGAACCAACCTTTCAAAGCCAAGAGGAAAAATGGTTGGTGACCTATAATAGGGGTAACTGAGGCGTCGCATCACGGAGTTGATGGAGAGGGAGGCCGACCGTGAGGAGGCCTTTGTGAGCGAACACGTCGCTGATGACCCAAATAGAAAGAAAATTGTGCTTGCACAGGAAAAACAAAACAATTGGTTGCTGCCCCTTTGTGGATACATGCCCACTTGGGGGGGGGGGGGGGCATGGGGCGAACTACGAGGTGCACATTCTGGTTGCTTCCAGGCTTTTGGTCGGATCAAGGTGCCTGGGAATTTGCTCCCACTCCGTTACTTTATAGCAGCACACAAGTTTTTGTTTGAACTTCCGGGTGGCGACTTTTGGATCCCCTTCAAAATGCCAGTACCCTCAGAGTCACGCCCCAAAAGACCCGACGTGCGCAAATCGGTCGCTTTCAGTTCCAGCACTACCTGCGCCTCATCAACTTCGGCGAGAGTGAAGGCAGTGTCGCCGGTTTTCGCTGGGCTCTGGGCACAAGGAATTCACATATGGTCAAGCACCGGTTTCTTAGATTCTTTACGTTGGGTTCGGTGAAGGCTGGACGAGCATTGCAAGGATTCCTCTCAAGGTCAGCTTTTCCAGCTCGTATATCGTCCTTGAGGGACATGGGGACGTTCACTTTTTCGCACAACGACCAGGAACAAATCACTCCTTTTCCCGTTCCCTTTTGGTAGGCATGGCTATGCGTCGAAGTCAGGAACCCTTTGGGTCCATGTGTGCCCCTTGACTCTCAGGAGCTGAGCCGAGCGGCGGCAGCCTCGGTGAGAAACCAGTTGGCTCTCGGGTTATGCACATGTTCGTTGGACGCATCATTTTCTCGGAGTCATAGGTCTCCCTTTTAGGTGAGCCCGGTTAAAAATCGATGGCACTGGTTTAGATGGGTTTTGTCCCATTCACCAGGGCCATCTATTTTTTCAACAGGCCGCCTATGCTCGGAGTGATGTTGGGGAAGACAACAAACAGTTAGGACTTGTTTGGCGAATCTGCGGAAGTGAGGTCTTCCACGAACATGCAGATACATGTACATGATGCCCCCAAAGTTTACTTGAAATTCAACACCAATTTCTAAATGTCTAACTATAGCAGAAATTCGGTTGGATTTGTCAACCAAAGTTCTCAAATGGTGCACTGGTCGCCTACAGTGACTTCAGCCTGGAACACCTCCATGCAAACACCTGGCCCTTTAAGTCATGAAAGCGTTTCCAGTGACCGGAAGCGCTTGGATTCCTTTACACCCCCTTTGTTCGTGTGGTGAAACTCACCGATGCAATGCAAGTCATAGCTGTGCCAATGGATACCTCCTTGCCTCCTTCGAGCCATTCTGCCGCGAGTCAGCCGAGTCAGCCCGCAAACACCTGGCACCCTCTAAGGCACCAAAGGCCTTAAGGGGGCCCTTTAAAGGGAAGCCAAAAGGAGGTTTGTAGCCATGGTTTGTAGCAGGTATCGGTTTTGTAATTGCCATGGTTTTAAGGGGTCGAATCCGTCGCATCGATGTCTCCGGCTCCCTGAGGCAAGGGTCGGCATCGGCCAAGTCCTGTCGAGGCCGAGGCACGTGTTTGAACGCTTCGGATCCCGGTTGCCTCGGAAGAGGTCGCGAGAGAGGTCCCGGTCACAAGCTTGGGGGTGCAAGTTGAGTCACAAGTGGGTAGTGGATACAAGTGGGTATGGGTGGTATAAGTTGATAGTGAGTGCAAGTGGGATGTCCGAAGTTTGGGTGTTTCAAGCATGTTCAGGGTCGTTGGTAAGTCCACTGAGTGTCATCGCGACGTTTCTCGGAATCATCGTGTGATTTCAGCGCGAAGATCATGGCTCGGCCTGTTTTGAAGGTGTTTTTAGGGCTCTCAGAAGCTCATGTATACAAAGTTAGATAGGAACCCTCACAAGTAATCCCCAATCTAAATGATGTGGTGCCCGAACACTCACATGGATGATGGACATGCTGATATGATTGGTCATGATGTACATGGATGTCATGATGGACATAGATGATTTGGTGTCCGAATAATTTGCAACCATGCATGGTCCGATTTCACCCAAGGTTGATTTGGTGTCCGTTTTTTTTTTTTATAAAAAACCACAACCACCCCAAGGCGTCGAAGGCGGGTTCTCGACTCCCTACCTTGCATGGCTTCAAGCGTCGCCTTTTCATGGCCAACGTGGCATGAGTTTCCAGTCGTGCAGTTGTTGAAGTGGGAACATAGGGGTGAAAAATCCTCCCCCCTGGGTTTTCTCGATGTTTTTTCCGCTTGAAGGGTCTCCCCTGGGTGTGATCCAGAAAGAAGGTCGTGGATCAAACGCGGAGAGAGCCCTGGCCAGGGCTTCGATGGCATGCGACACTTGCAGCAGGACGGTTGTTCGACCACCGGGGCAGCGTGGTTTCCCTGTGAGCCCGTATTTGTTTGCGTAGTTGTTTGATATGTGCTGTACTTGTTGTTGAGTGTGTTTGTCATTTGTTTCGTTTGTTACTTTGTTTCTTTGCTGATGTAGCTGTTAGTTGTTGATGTGCGCATGTACAACCTTACTTGTTTTGCCATTGTTGGTTTTTGTGCGTGCGTGATAAATATATATCAGCATGGCGTTCTTGCTTTGCTTGTAATATGTGTCTGTTGTATATGCATATAGTTGTGTTGCTTTGTTTTGTTGCAACCGACGTATCAATCTCTGCTAGGTGCAACATAACCCTGTTGTTTGTTTGGCGTACCAGGAACGCACGTTGCCAGGGACACCGCCAGGGGTTGATATGTGTTGGCTGTTCTCGGCGAAGAAAAAGAAGCTCAGCAGGCACCGCCAGAGTAATCCATTTTCGCTGAGTCCTTACCGAATGCTTAAAGAGGCATGCTTAACACGGTTTTTTTTGACATCTCCCTTGGTGACTAAGGAGGGGAAGGAGATTATGGATACATCGTTTGGTGATACGGCCTGCCCGCAGTCATATCCAGCCATTCCAGAATTCCTTCTTCCCACCGAAGCTGAGGCCAGTGATGAATTATTTGATTTCTGATGAGTCGCTTCACCTTAAGTTCTTTGCGGACAGTGCGGTGCGGTCTTATTGGGGACTTCCGGGTGAGACTTGTACTTGTGTTTGTTTCCATGCTAGACTCTGCTTGAGTCATCTTGACTCCCCCCCCCACGCTTTCCTAGGCTTAAGTCTCCTGAGCACGCAAACGTCGGAATCCTGCAACCAGACTTCGAATTCGTGCAGGATTTGGATTCCATGCCCCCGGGGACTTCGGAGTAGTGGCCTTGGAAACTGCGATTTTCCTATAGGTGTCAGGTGGGTTCTACCTGGTTTCTAAGAAGCCAACTTCCGGAGATTCTATAGGAAACTTCTTCTTTTGGTGGGTATTTGGGTAGCTTCCTGTAGAATTTCCTGTTGCTGGTTTCTATGATGGTTTACTTGGAATTGTACCCTCTCACTAAACGATCACACCTGCGGGCGGGAGCCTGGAAGATTCGCTGCCTCTTGTGGATGGACCTTCTTGTCAGGTGCCATTGTAACGTGGGAGTGAGGGCAGTAGAGCCTGAATAAGTATTCACATGTTGCGTGAGAAGCAATCATTGGATTGCAAACTTGGTGTCAAATGGATTGGTGTCAAACTTGGATTGGTGTCAAACTTGGATTGGTGTCAAACTTGGATGTGGAATGCAAGCATTCGTTTGGCAGTCCGTCCCCACTCCAAACTATGGACATTTGTGTTTGTCGCACGTGTGGCTGAATTGGGAAACCCCAGACATAGCTGGGCTGCTTTGGCGTTCTGTTCAGACAGCCCAAAATGCTACCATCGATAGAAAGTTTGTTTCCAGAATTCCCTGCGGCGACCTGTCAGACGTAGGATTCAAATCGGCAAATCGAAGCCTGAGCTTTATTCCGACACCGGTCGTGGATTCGCCCGTCCACTGAACAATTCACTTGCCCAAAGCCGACCTTTGGACCTTTTGGTTTTCCCATGTTGGTCCATCTTTAGTAAAGGTGCCCAAAGGTGCACCTTTTTTTGTTTGGATCCTTTGGGCAACCGAGGCAACCAGGGCTGTGCCATGAATTTCCCTCTCACCGCTTTCTGTGAGGAAGCACTTCTAGAAAGGCCGTTCAGGAGATCAACACTGGACGTCCCTCCTTGTAGGCACATCTTGACGCAACCATTGAAAACAATGAGAAGCCATTCAGAACCCATTTCGAGTTTGAACGTAGGACCCCCTGCAAGGGGCACTCTATCCCTGCTTGATACTTACACAAGGCAACCTGCACTTAAGCTGAAGTCTGTGAGTTTACTGGCAGTTTCTGCGCTGCCTTTCCATTCCAAGGTATGCTGAAATGATGCTCACTTGCCAACATGGACTCACACGCACACAGACGCACACACACACACTAGCACCTGCCTGTTTCAAGGTTCCTCCATCTCCCTTGCTGGAACCTCCAAAAGTGGAAGTTTTGACGGAAAAACCACCAATCCATTGCAACTGATAGGGGGAAAACTACTTGTGAGACCCCTGTGTTGGAAGACTACTTTCCTTTTAGAAATCACTTCTTGATACCTTCTTGGGCCCGGACGAGGCTCTCGTACTCGGTCTGCTGTGCCCTACCAGCACGAGCCCAAGTCCGGAAATCCGGAAGCGACATGATGCGGTTTTAAAGGACACGGAAGCAAGCTGTGGGTCTGGTTTCAAGGAGTCTCCTGGACTTTCTTTGGTCACTTTTTGGGTAGAACCTTTTTATAAATCAAAAAAAAGTGTTGTTTCTGTTGGTGGCCAATTCACTCAGGAAGTGAGGTAGAGAGGCGGGAGTTTCCGAAAAAAATATGGCACTCGTTGCCTGAATTCAATCCAGCTAGTGTTCGAAATGGGCTCTGTGATGCTGGGGAGAAGAAAGCTGTTTATCCTGGCACGGAATCTGACGGCAGGTCACGTACCCCTCTCATACACAGTGTTTCCTGTAATTAGTGTGGCAAGGGCAATTCCTCCTGCGTTCGCATTGGGGAACGGCTTCCAAATGTCTGCCCGAAGGAATGCTTCATGGTTCACTCTGGTTTGTGCCTGTGTCTCTGTCTTTGTGTGTGTGTGTGCTTGGGTGTGTGCCCTTTTTAGGTTTGGTCTGAAGGGGCACGTCTGTTTTCAGGCTTTGAACCTGCATATGGCCATGGGTCGTAACGTATGCCTCCATGTTGGGGCGGATGAACACCCATGTACCGCCTATTTTTATGTTCACCAGGGGTACAGGGTTTTGACCCACAGCCATATGAGTTCGCTCCAAAATTACCACCATTAATTTTATGTAGGAGTGCTACAAAAGCACGTGTTGATTTGCTTTTGTTCCTCGAACAACGAGACGGGACATCCAAAAAGAAGATTCCCCCTAACCTGAGAACAAAACATGAAAAACGATGCGGGGCGACCGGACGTTGGAATGAATACACTCCAAACAAGTACGTGTGACGCTGGTTCATTTACTATACAATTAAAACTATACATATATACACATATGCATATATACATATATGTACATATATATATATATATATATATATGGTCCCGTGTTCCGTGTTGCTACCCCCCCCCCCCCCCATGGTATGGGTCCCCCAGGAACCGCCCCCCCCACGGCCCGAGACCCCGAGCCCCCGGATCCTGGCACCTACGGTCCCACCCCCACCCCGACCCCCTGAACTCGCACCCCGACACCCCGGCACCCCCACCCCCAGGACAAGCCAACCCCAACCAACCATAAACCAACCCTAAACTAACCCTAAACGAACCCTAAATACACCCTAAACCAAACCCTAAACCGTAGACCTCTAAACCTAAACCAACCCTAAATCAACATAAACCAACCCTAAAAACCCTAAACCAACCCTAAACTAACCCCAAATGCACCCTAAACCAATCCCTAAACAATAAACCCTAAACCTAAGCCAACCCTAAACCAACCCTAAATCAACATAAGCCAACCCTAAACCAACCCTAAACTAACCCTAAATACACCCTAAATATACCCTAAACCAATTCTAAACCAACCCTAAACCACCACAACCCAACCACAGGACCACAACCACAGGGGGGGGGGGTACTTGTCTGACCCATGACCATTGGTGGGGGGGGGGGGGGCCTGGCAACGCTGTACCATATATATGTATTAGCTTAAACCTGGTTGTTGGCACTTGAAGAAGTTTCAGATGTCTGTCAGACTCAGGTGGATTTCCCCAGGCTGGGGCTTTCTCGTCGTCTGAGGCCTCTCTGGTGCCGGCGCTCATTGGCCGCTCCGGGGATTTCGTGAGGAGTCGGTCCAATGGGCCGGGGGAGCACCACACCAAGGGGGAACCCGAGAGGGAACGCCACTCTCGCCCTAATTGTCCTAAAAGTAATTGCATCAAGGGACCTCTGCCCGACTGTCCGTCTTCTTTTCACCCGGCGTCAACTGGTCGTGTGGACCCCTACAGTTGGATTCCGTATGGACTTCCCCGAAATCAACATGGAAGTTTTCCCGGACTTCAGTCACTTTTCGGGTTGTTTGGACCATTTTAGTGGTAAATCGGAAAAGTGTGGGCCACGCCGCTCAGACACCATAGTTGGAGTTCCCTTATGCTTGACGCATAGCCGTTCAGGTGCGTGCATGTCGATAGAGTTCTCGAAAGTGCTCCGGGGCTTGAAACCACGAACAAGGTCATACAGGGTGTCTGGCAGTTTTGGAGTTACTACAGGTTTTGGGGTCGTTCCCAAGGAGAACCCAGAGAAACCACCTCTCGTTTGTTTGGAGACAAGCCCAATCGAGTTTTGAAACAGCTATGAGCCAAATCGGTGCCGGATACCTGAGGCTTGCGACCCTCAGAGGGGCAGGTGACTAGCAGCGACTGTTGCCAAAGGGATGGCTGAAACATTCTGAAACGTAGGGGTCGGGTGAGCACTACTGAGGATCATGGCTTCGTCTCTATATAAGAGGGGATCTCTGAAATGTGGGTGATATCCATTTGCATTCCCTTTGAAGCAAGCCCGGAATTGGCAATAACCCTTGACAACAGACTACGCCTTCTGGCGACTCCTTGTATGTGTCACAAGTTGAGCCACATGTCAGAGGAGTCCTGTTGCTTCTTCTCGCTCTCAGCCTGGGTCCTGTTGCCTTTCACCGCCAACTGTGCGTCCGCTTTTCGAGGGCAAGCAACAGCTATGGCGCACCCTGAAGGGTTCCCGACAGCCACTGGGTAATTCTGAATGTCATTGAAGGCGCGGGCCCAAGACTAGGGTGGAGTCTCCATGACCCAACCGTACATGGGCTTGTCCCTGAGGCCCCCAACATAATTCCAATCTATGCCAATTTGTGTGGGCGTGTCCTTTTTTCAGGGACCCTTTTTAGATGGTTTTTACAGGGAAACCAACATGAAACCACCCACCTGGAGGGTTCCGAATCCCAGTTTAAGACAAACCCATGTAGAGCTCCAACCATATTCCACCATGCAAGTCGTCGGCAAGGCGCGAGAGCAGCCTGCGAATGGCTCGAGCCACGCAAGCCCAACAGACGTCCCGTTCGTTCCCTCGGGTGCTTCCAGGCGTTTCGCCACTATAGGTAGTCGATCGGGTTTCTCAAACCAGGTTTTACATCATGGCTAACTCCTTGGGCAAGCCTGCTATGCTGGCTTGCCTGGAAGCACGGGGTCATGTTTCCCACCTCTTTACCACTTGACCAGACAGTGCTCTCGATCATTGAAAACTGGTTGAAATTCTCCGAGCTGGCCCTTGAGTCACAGAGTTGGACGTGGTCGTACATGTGCTTTCCTCGGGCGGTTTCTTCTTTTCACTTTTGCATGCCATTGACTTGCGCAAAATGATCTTTGGGTGGTTAGTGGGCCCGTGTGGCGCCAAAAACGGCCCGCATGAACCGCTTCAGGCCGTATGGGCTTAGCCTCATCCAATGATTGAACCCCCCCCCCCAATCCACCGGGTGCCAAGGGTCCGTGAAATAAGGATCTAGACCCTCAAAAGAGTTGTTTCTTGTTGGCGTCCCTTATATCAAACCTCAAAGGGTGCCCTTCGAAAAAGAAGCAATGCTTTGCAACGCTAGGAGCATCGAAGAGCGAACCGGCGCCAAAGTGGACATCGCTCGCGAAGCACGAGGGAAAGACGGATACAGGACTGGGAGTTTCTTAGAGAGGCACATGTCATTGCTTTCTGGACGGTTGGCTACCTTCCCATCCACTATCCGCAGCAGGGGGTGAAGTATGGCCAGCAATGCATCCGTGCTGGAGTTGTTCCGTGCAAGGGACCTTGTTGTGGCTTCCATGGGCGTGGACCATTTGTCGCACGTTGGCTGTAACCAACAGGCAAATAATACACTTCGAGCAGGGCTAGTTGCCTTCAGCTTATTCGCAGAAGCTCTCAACTGTTCCAACAGATTGAGTGCCTCTGGAGCGCTCTGAAGCGGGGCAAACGTCACATTTCATTTTTTTCCATGAGGGTAAGCCTCTAGGGAGTGCCTTTACCCAGACCTCCAGTTCTCTTCTGTTGTTGCTGCTCTTTTTGTTGGTTCCCCCTTCAAGCGTGGCCGTATGAAATGGGGTGCTGGGCTCTGTGAAGTCAAGAGCCCCGCCCCCCTGAAACTGAAGAAGAGGAATGCAAATTCACTCTGCCGCCTTCAGACTCGTGAAACATGGGGAGGCGTGTCACAAGGCACAGCCGACCCTTTGAGGTTCAGGTTCCGGAGCGCGGGATGTAGCCACAAAAGTGGCAATGGTTTGGAGGTTTGGGGGGTAGGTCTTGTGGTTTGTTGTTCCCGAACCCAACAAGGTGGGCTGAGTTGTTTTTGTTTTTTGTTGTTTTCTTGCCAGGAAGATGGAGTGTGTGGGCCCGTTGGCGAGCATCTATGCCGCCCACACGCTGATGATGCATCGGCTTCAGGACACAGATGGAGTGTGATACTTGCTGGCTCTCAATAGATTTATTTCGCCCGTTTGGAAGGGATGGTTAAATAGGTTCCCAGTAGTGCCCTTTTACCTTTTTTTTGGGGGGGAGGGTTCCCCTACTAAAATAGACTACAGAGAAAAGACAAATAAGGGAAAAACATCGGGTACCAACTTAAACCTCTCAAATCTGGAGGACCTGGTTCAACAGGGTCATTCCCTCCTTCCCCACTTCCCCACGGAAGTTAAAACTGGGCGCCTCTTGGATCAGACCTGGAGGGGGGTTCCAAGAAATCGGTCATCGCTTGCGCGCCAGCGCGCCAAAGGGCAGATGTGGCTGTGGTGGTCAAAACCGTTTTGGTTGATCCCAGTTTGGTTGGTAGGAGAATTCACCACCCATTTTAGGACCTATTTTAGTTGGGATTGGGATGTAAAAACTGGGGGTACGATTTGGATTTTCACCCATGGCCATGTGTGTAGAATCCGAAGCACACAATATATGTGTTGGAATCCATTTCGGCTCACCCAACTGAAGTGGCTCCAGGCAATTTAAGGATTGTTCTCCACCTTACCTTTTGGGTTGGTTCCTCTTGAGACCGCCATTTAGGGGCGACCCAGTTTTTTCAATCCCCAGACCTTCCAGCTGTATCCCCAGGCCTTCCAGCTGGGAAGCATGATTCACCCCCATCGCAGGTTCTCTTTGAAGGAGAATCAGAAGGAAATGGTCTTCTTTAGATCATCTTTAGACCAGTGATTTTAGATGATTTAGATCTTCTTTTTGAACACTGGCTCTCTTTAGATCATCGTTTTGGACCAGTGATTTGCCCATCCCTGGCCAGCAGTCAAGAGTAAGCTGGTTTGTTCAAATGCATCGAGATCCGCATGTCAGATGGTTTCTCTTCAGGCGCCTTCCTTGAAATCCGGAAAACAATCCAAGTCAGCCAGCTCGAGGATGGTTTCCACTAAACCAACCCCGTTGAAAAGGTAGATGCAACCACTGGATAACCACTATTCACCCTTGAAACCACGCAAAGCCCCCTTTTTTTAGGGGCGACCAGGCCAGGGCTCCTTCTGAAAACCCTCAGAACACGTAACAGGGGTCAGCCCTGGGTTTATTTCTTCTTGGGAATTCAAGAAAGGGAACCCTAGACCAGGGGTGTCCACCCAGATAACCCGAAGCCACCTGTCACAACACATACCACCGAGAGAATGAAGGTTCCTCAAGCGCGTGGATGATGTTTATCTCAGGTTTGAAGGTAAATCAGCAGACTTGAACACTGAGGCGACGGCCAAACTGAGTAGTTTGCATAACTTGAACTATTCTACCGGTTGATTCCGCACTCTTTTCAGTCATCGTTCTTTTCAAAAACCAGCCATTTCCCCAGGTGTTTGTTGGTGGTTTGCTAGAAAGAAGGATCCCTGGAAAGAATGGAAATGGAAGTTACCCCTAGAACTCTGCAGTTATCACATTACTTGAACTAGATTCTCTACCAGCAGACTTGAAAAACTGAGGTGACGGCCAAACTGAGTAGTTTACATTACTTGAAACATGCAGTTTTGCATCCAGAGCACCTTTCAGGTGCCTGTGCCCACCTCCTCGCTCGCTCGCAGGAAGTGGAGCGGGCGCCTGAGCGGCCAGCCAGGAGCGGCTTCGATGTGGGAAGCCTGAATCAAAGGCTGGGGAGGGAGTTGGGGGGGGGCAGGGGGCCCAAATAATCCCTCAAGGCCTTAATTAGGGCTTATTTGGGCTTCCCCCCCAACCTCCCTACAGCCTCCACAATGAATCAAAGGCTGATGGGAGTGACACACAAGAGAACCCATTCCCATTTGGCTGTGGGACAAAACCTGAGGTGCCTTTTTGGGGATGGTTACCACTCAACTGTTTTTTTTTGAAGGCTTTCTGGGTGATCACCGGGGCACCGGGGTTTTGACCCATTCCCATTTGGCTGTGGGGCAAACATAGGGTAAGCCCAAAATGGGTTGCCCTGGGAAATGGAAAGGAATCAAACCTGCGGCCCCCGGGGCTTAATTCTTAATTTTGACCCACTTGTGTGTCCTCTGGTGACTGGCATGGCATATTTGTTTCGCCACCGCGACATGAAACCTGAGTGCAGGGACCTAGTCCATGTTTTACAAGGGACTTGTTAGCATCCATGTTTGTTGTTGCTCAGGGAATGTGATGACGAGATAGAATGAGGATTCATAGGGAGCTTGGTTCATGCAGAATGCACCAGTTCTCGCAGCAGGTTTTGGCAAGAGGCCCTGTGGTGGACATCGAATTTGTGCGCTGGTCAGACGATTAGAGGGGCCACCCCAAAGCGAACCACAAGAACACAGCTTCCTGGAGTATCTTGGTGGCTCCCAGCCATCCCCTTACGTTTTGCGGTTTTTAGGGTCAGTGGTAGTTTCCACTAAACCGCCAAAAGTTAGACTTTTAGCAGGGGATCTGGGAACAGCCCAGGTATCCACGGTTGCGTGCTCAGGAGGCCATGTACTACTTATATGTTGTTCACTTTGTGGTATTGGTGTTATTCATTTTGGTGATTGATGAGCAAAGGCGGCTATGTTCATCGCCATCTATTTTTGGCCCCACAGGATGCCATAGACTCGAGGGTGTGGGTCAAAAACAGGTACCTAAATGGAATCCCGGTAAGTAAATGGGAGCAAAGGCTAAAATCTGCGGTCCGTTGGTTCAATTTTGACCGCGCCTGTCTCAGGAGGCCCGTTCCACGGCACTCGGGCTGGAGCTCGGCCAACGCCGCGCCGCTGGCGCCCACCGTTGCTCGGCCCGGAAGGGCGGGACACCCGCCGCTTGCGTCGTGGTGGTTTTTGGGGCGCGGCGGGTTGAAGGAGGTTCCGGTTTTTTAAGAAACTGGGCGGTTCGCAGCCATCCAGTTCCTTAGCTCTTTGGGTTTTTAGGGCTTAGAGGGAATTCCATTTAACCTACTGAAAGTTAGACTTTAGCAAGGGAGCTGAGGGCGGCCCTGTTTTCGCTTCGCTTCAGCGCAGCCCGGAGTGTTTGTCTCTCGGTGGGTGGGTGTTTTGTGTTGGAGAGAACCCTTTTTAACCAAAAGCAAAACCGAAATTCAAAATCATAGGGACTTACTCATAGTTGGACACTTACTCATAGGGAGTGTACCGCGCCCGCGATGTTTTTCCTTGGGGATGGACAATTTGCTGGTGCTAGGTTACCGCTTTCTGAGATATCAAAGGCATCACGAAAATAGAGCAACACAGTAGTCGTGGTTGGATGGCCCATTCAATTAGGTTTCTGCTTGCAACTTTCTTTGAGAACCCTGCGGAATCCCAAGAATGAAGTCATCTAGTATATAGCCATAGTTGGACGATGCTGCCTACCGGAGGCAGAAACAATTGAATTGACAACCGTTCTGTGCTTCCTGGCGTCCTGATCTGTTTCGTGATGTTCGATGTTATTTCAGGGACATGGCAGAATGGGAACGCTTTTTTGTTTTGTTTGTTTTACCCTCGGCCTTTTTATTTTGGGGCCCATAAACCAACAAGTAAATGTTGACGGGTTGGACAATTCAAGCACCTAACGACCACGGTTCAAGCTCCCTATCCGTGGATGCCGAAGCTGGCCAGACCCTTCGCGTGGCCTCTGTAGCGAGGGGTCCCCATTCCTTATCAGAAAGGATTGGCCACCCGCTTGCCCATGTACCTGTTGCTGGTGTACTCGATTAAAAGCCATCGGGTGATGGATCTCATGATATCGGCCTCGAATTCCTGGAATACCGATATCCGAGACGATTCTCAGGCATGTTCAAGGCTGTAAATATCAATGTGACTCAAAATTTAAGCGCCAGGGGACCGCTGGTGTTAGCCTATGTTTCCGGTGCCATGTTTTTTTGGCCCCCATGTTTGAGCACCCAACGGCAGGTTGGAACAAAGCAAGTAAATTGGGCTAAAGCGTTAACCGTAGGTGGTCGCTTGTCTTGACTCTTAATAAGTATCCACTTGGGCCACCATTTTGGCTCAAGTGGACCTTTTGATCTTTTGTCTTGTGATTTGAAATCTTTCTTTCCCCTACTCTCAAAGCCATGTACGCCCCCGCCTACGCTGGTGCCGCGGTAGCAGAGGCCAAGGCTAAGGCAAAGGCCTCCATGGCAAAGTACCTGGCGAGCCTCGTGAAGAGGGAGGAAGAAGGATGGACCGTTTTGGCTGCTGAGGTCCCTCAGGCACCTGACGAGCGTTTCTTCTCCAGCGCAGATGAGCTGGAGCAGGCCCCCCTTATCCCGGCCAAGCGCAAGGCAGAGGATGAGCCGATGGAAGATGCAGCCCCTGGGGTGGCGCAGGTGCCGAAGGCCCTGACACGCCCCCCAGGGGCGTTCCTGGAGCTCCTGAACCCGCCGGAGGAGGACGTGCCCATGGAGGAGCTCCTGGCGAAGGACGAGAAGGAGCTGCCGATGCCCAGGTCCCCTCGGCTGCAGCCCGCTTGGAGGAGGCCCGCCTGGATGCCCGGGCAGACGCCAAGTGGCAGAGGCGCCGGGAGCTGATGGCGAAGGTCAAGGAGCAGGCGTCCTCGGAGGAGGATGAGAACCCCGCAGCCCCCCCGCCGGGGGGGAGCGTGTTCACCAAGGCCCTCAAGGTCTCGGAGGGCCTCTACCAGTTCAGCGACGACCAGATGGCGGGCGACTTCCCTTGCTTCGATGCGACCACGGCCACTAGGCTCCGCCGACTGCAGGCCAAGGACGTCCAGCGGCTCCTGCGAGGCTTTGAGGGCCCCCAACTCAAGCAGGGGGGCCTGGAGCGCGTTGTGGAGGCCTTCTACATCGCCAAGATGAAGTACGAGCATGAGGCCCGGCTCAGCACCCCGGGACAGCAGGTTGGCAAGCGCGCTGGCTTGGGGTACGGGGGCCTGGAGAACCGCCCCCTGGGCAAGGTGCCCACATCCTGGATCTGCCCCTGCTGCACCATGCCCTGGGTGAAGAAGGGCGCCACGAAGTGCATGGGGTGCGGCAAGAAGACGGAGCCCATTGACACGGCGACCAACTCGGCCACCCTGGAGATGGCGGGCACGCACTGGCAGTTGACGGTGGATGACCAGGGCAATGCGGTCTGGACGGCGGCCCGGTCCGCGGGTGCCGAAGGCCCTGACACGGACCGGGCCCGCGACCTCAAGCTCAGTGCCTCGGTGGACGTCAGCGAGCTGGCCACCGACCCGATGGCCTGCGAGAACCCGGACCAGGCCAGCTTCTCGGACTTCGTCCCCTCCTCGGTCCGGGCGGTGATCAGGAACTGCCCCATGGAGCTGGACGAGGAGTTTCTGACGGCCCCACCGGGGGAGAGGCCCCCATTGCCAGGCGACAAGGAAGAGGGCCAGGAATGCAGAGCCTTCCACCCGTCTGCGGTGAAGGCCTTCAAGATTCAGACCCGGCTCAACGCCACCACCATCGCCCAGGAGGAGGCCAAGAAGGCGGACCAGGTGGAAGCGGTGGAGCGCTCCGCGGCGGTCCTCCACGAACTTCAAGGGGGGGCCATTGACGGAGGAGGTGATGGAGGCCTGCTCCTGAAGAACCTGGACTTGGACCTCTTCCGTGAGAAGCTGCTGGACAAGCTGGGTGCGGACTGGGGGAGACCCACACCGGAGCTCCTCCAGGCCCAGACCACTGCGGAGGAGGCGAAAGCGAAACACCAAGCCAGACAGGCGAAGGGCTCCCTCGAAACCAGAATGCTCGAGCCCATCGCGCCTCCCTTCAGTGCGTGGCCTAGTGAGGTCCGGGTCGCCATTGAGACTGGGGTCTTCGAGCCGACAACGGCATGGAGGGACTTCAGTATGGACGACCTCACATCCCTCACGGACTCCTACCTTGAGGCCAAGGCGGTCATCTCGCTGGGTAGGAATCCCTTCCCGGCGGCCCTCCTGTCAGATCTGCCGGACCTGACAGGGATCCCCATGCCAAAGGCGGGGGGCTCTGGTGCGGCGCGCCCAGGTGCCGAGGGCCCTGACAGGCCGCCCACCATCCCCCCAGCCTCGGGCTCTGGCGTGACGAGCTCAGGTGCCGAGGGCCCTGACAAGCCGTCCGCCACCCCGGTGGGCCTGGACACCAAGGACCCGGAGGTGCAGCTCTCGGTCCTGCGCTGGATGATGAGCAAACGGGTCGGAGAGGTCCGTATCTTTGCGGGCCGCTGGGTCCGACGACCGGGCCCGGTACACGTCCCGGATTGGGCGAAAAACCTCACCAAGGTGAATCCGGAGGCGTTGGAGAAGGGTACGCATCCCAGGAACCACCAGGTGGGTGGACTCCCCTGGGCCAGGTACTCCGTTGATGAGTTGCACCAGCAGGCGAAGGCGGGGGACCGACCCTACCCTGGGGACCTGCGATCCATCTTTTGGGCTGCCCCCCACGATCCGGATGAGGACTTCCACTGGACGCGCCAGATCTCGTCCTGGACACTCCCAGGCCTACTGGGGATGTTCGGGCACAGCTACACCCTGCGCCAGCTCTGGGGAGTCTGGGAGTCTCTGCCACTGCTGCAGGGCCCTAGGCAGCGGGGCCCGAAAAACAAGGCCCAGAATCAGACCCGCCTGGAGGGCTGGGAGACCCTGAAGGAGGACGCGCGGTGCTTCCTGAAGGAGGAGGGCCTTCCGTTTCCGCAGACAGGACCGGAGTGGCGATTGGTCTACCGGGCCATGGGCAAGGTCCTCGCGGCCCGGGCCTTCCTCACGGACACCCCGGCGGAGGTGATGCAGCTCCCGGTCCAGGACGTGGCGGACTCCAAGGAGCAGATGATCCTGCGGGCGGTATGCGACGAGCGCATCTCGGTCCCGGTGGAGAGCCTCCAGCAGTTCCCAGAGGTGTACAAGGCCCTCATGGACCGCATTGGAGGCCCGGGGGCCCTGGCGGAGGTGAAGGTCAACTGGCGCTGCAACACGAAGCAGTGGTGGGTCGGCGCAGTCCCCGACTCAGTGGCCCCCTCCATCTACCGCAAGCTCGGCTACACCAACGACATGATCAAGCTGATGGGCCTGGACCCCTCCGCCCCTGGGTGCCGGACAGGTGCCGATGGCCCTGACATCCGCCCCAAGGGGAGGCGAGGGCGATGAGGGGATCGTTCACCCCCCCATCACGGCGGACAACGTCCACGGCGTGGTGGGTAAGGACTACCGGAAGAAGAACTATCCGGTGGAGATGAAGCATGTCTTCTGGGCGCACATGGAGTGTGGCCTGGTCCTGAGCTCCGTCACCCCGTGGGAACTCATCCCGAAGACAAAAGGGGAGACCCGGGGGGGCTACATGTGCAAGTATTGTAAGGGGTACTGGCGTGCCGGGGGAGGGGGCACCCGCCTCCTCCAGATCCGGGCCGGCAAGGCCATCTTGCAGCTGGTGTTGGACGAGCCGCCGGAGGGCCTCTACAACCGCTGGGTGAAGGAGCGGCTGGAGTACTACCGCCGGGTGGAGCCCTCGGCCCCGTTGCGGGACGTCTCCATCGTGGACCAGAAGGTGCCCAGGTTCAGATTCAGCCAGACCACCCAGACAGGCCACGTCTCCAATGCCATCTGGGAGCTGATTCTGCGGAATCCGGAGGCTGCTGCGCTCAAGCGCATCGATGACATCGCGAAGGGGGCCGCGTGATGATGCGGGACAACGCCATCTTCCGGCACACCATCCAGGACCGCGGCCATCCGGAACGGATGCGCAGCGCACCCCGGGGGGGGGACAGCTGCCGAAGGCGCTGATATCCCCCCCCAGGGAACAGCGCAGGCCCAGACTTGCACCAGGCGAGGAAAATTGGCGCGGCTTGGGCTGATCCGGGGT